GGAACCCATTTAACTGCATTCCTGCGGTGCTGCATCTAAGCTAATGAACCTCTCCAGAGTTCATTAAACTCAAATCCAATTTGGGATTGTCTATACCCATGGAGTGGTAATGTTATTTAATTAATAAAATTAAATTAATAAACTTAAATTCTTTTTAATTCAGATAAATTAATTCTTAACAAAGGCAAATCACCCAACTGGTTTCATTTATGAGTAAGTAATAATTTGCTGGTATTCCAAGAATAAAGGTCAGTAATTGCAAAATGTTGGTGCAAGTCTGTGGGAAGAGATGGAAAATAATAATCCAATATTGCTCTTCTGAAATCTTAACTCTGTGCACTGTACCTTCTGATGTGTGCTAAAGTTATTAAAAATGTCTCCAGTGGAGGTGCAAGCGTTGTCCATCAAAGCTTGTTAGATTGACTGTCATGTAAAAACCATGTGGTTAATTCCCCAGGAATAGATTAGTAATGGAGGTATCAGACTCTGAGGTATTGAGTTTGTAAGTAAAAACTCTATTGACGGACCAATGTCCATTGATATTTTCCAGATCAGAATTGCATTTTCATTTCAACTAGGAAGTGAATTATGTTACAAATGAGTTTTGAAGACTGGTGTTGGTGTTAGCACAGAGTCATACTTTTCCCTTGCAAGCTGTGAAAAATCCAGAATATGTTATTTGACTGAAGCCACTGAAAGTTTCTGCTGATGTCGTATCAGTAACTTTAATCTTTTATTTATATAGTCTTGCTACCATTCTGTAAAAAAATTCTCTAAACATGCAATCATAGAACGAAGTCAATAATGATAGATGTGATGAAGATGGCTCTTGAAAGCTGCTGAAGTTTTTGAGGAGAACTAGGTGTTGAATTAAGGCAGAATAAGTCTGCTGCCATTTTGGAATGTGTGTAATGGAAAAGTGCTCTAAAGTTTTGCAACAGAAACTTACTTTCAGAAGAAGCCCTGCAAAGGATGAATTATATTGAAGTAAGATAACAGCTTCAATTTGTTTTAAGCTTTAGTTCCATTCTTAAGCATGGATACAGCTGTTAAAACTTGGTGAAGGCAATACGTGGCATTTATTTTGACTTGCATCTTCTGGATTCTGAAAGATTCTGGTTCTATAAAGGAATACCTCCCTAAATAATCCAGAGGAGATGAGGATTTCAGACTTTTGGGTGGGTTTTTTTTTTTTAAGATAAGTAATTCTCACATTGTTTCTTCTGCATTTTTTGGTTTTATGACACATAAGTAAATTTCTTCCAGTATTCTGGCATACAAGTTACATTATTCTTTACAGTGAGCTTGTAAAATTCAGCTTTATTATGCAACTTTACAGCAGCTAGTCCTAAAGAAAGTGTAGAAAATGTTTTGCCTTGAAAATTAAGGCAGTGGAATTCATTACAGCACATGAATATCCTGAACTGCATAGTAGACACAGAGAATCCCAAGTCTGTATGATGCAAACGCCATTATTTAAGAAAATGTCCCCTGTGTTTAAGGCACTATTCAGTGTATAGACATAATTGCATAGAAATGAAATTTACCATTACAGGGTCAACTTTTTTCAGTGATGCATATTTTCTTACTTATTTTTATAATGAGGTGGAGAATGCCTGCCTGCCTGCCTGCCTGCCTGCCTGTGGGAAGACTCGCTTGCTTTTGCCAGCAAAAGCAGGTGGTGTTCTCCCACCAGCCATGGGTTTGTTTGGGATGAGTAGCGTAGTGACTAACCACCCCACCAGCCTTCCTCTTCACATGGGCTGAGAGCCACCTGGCCCTTCTCCAAGAGTCTGTACTGATTCAGCACATCTTTACAGCAGCCAGAAGCATCCCCCTTCAGTGGCGTAGGCTGTCGAGTGCATGCCAGGCTCACTCTCTCCTTTTTACTCTGATGTTCCATCAGTGTCAAATTCCTGATATTTGGGCTGTTACCATGGCCTTGGCCTGGTATATTGAAATGTTCTGAGATTAAACCAGTGGTTGAGAGCTCTATTTGTCAGGAATAATGAACTTTCTCACGTACGTGTAGGAGTCAGAGCTCACTTGACTGTGCGTATACTGATGTTATAAGGGTACTCTACGTCAGTACAGTGAGAACTCAAGTATGCACCAGCCTTTCTTCTGCCTAAATTTAACTGTCTGCAGAGTCACTTGGTTATGTCCAAACTAGAGCTAGAGAGAGCTAGAACAAAGACTGTATGTGTAACTGAGTGAGCTGGATTGAAAATTGAAGAACTACAGTAATGTGACAGCATAGGTGTAAATTTGGGAGACAAATCCTAGATTACAGTGGATTCCCACATTAACTGAGGATCTCAATAAACTTTTACAAATGTTTGCTGCAAAAAGAACTCTTGCTCTTTTTCTGTCTTCTCTTACTTGAACGCATACACTTAAATCCCAAGACTGAGTCAGGAAGGCCACAGAAAATGGAGAAACCAAAATGCTGTCTTCTAAGGTATTTTCAAGAAAGAAGCAAGAAGTCACACTAAGCACCTTTCTCCTGGTGAGGTATTTATCGTCTTTGGTTTTATCATACGATGATACAGAGCCTCACTCCAGCAAGTAGGATGTCTGGAGTTAAGCCCAAGTTACCACCAAGGACTCAAGAGCAATTATTCATATCTCTCAACATGCTACTGGAAGATGCTCAAATATGGTAATGCAGGTGGTACAAGAATACTGTCTTATCAAGCTCCTGTTTAATTTTTAAAGCTGATTTCTGAAGTATGTGCTGCTGGGAAGGCAGTAGCAAGTTTACGCTCCCTTTTTACTTAGGTGTAAGTTCATCTGCTCAATGTATTATTTCATCTGTCCAGAGGGACCTTGACAGCTTGAGAGGCGGGCCCATGCAAACCTCATGTATTTCCAACAAGGCCAACTACAAGGTCCTGCATGTGGATTGAGGCAATTCTAAGCACAGATATAGGCTGGGCAGAGAATAGATTGAGAGCAGCCCTGAGGAGAAGGACTTGGTGTGTTGGTTGATGAGAAGCTAACCATGACCCAGCAGTGTGCACCTGCAGCCCAGAAACCAACCGTGTCCTGGGCTGCATCAAAAGGAGCGTGACCAGCAGGTCAGGGGAGGTGATTCTCCCCCTCTGCTCTGCTCTCATGAGACCCCAGCTGCAGTACTGCATCTGGATCTGGGGCCCCCAATATAAGAAGCGCATGGACCTGTTGGAGTGAGTCCAGAGGAGGGCCAAAGATACTCAGAGGGTTGGAGCACCTACCATATGAAGATAGGCTGTGAGTTGGACTTGTTCAGCCTGGAGAAGGTTCAGGGGAACCCCTATAGCAGCCTTCCAGTACCTAAAGAGGCCTACAAGAAATTTTGAGAGGGACTCATTATAAAGGCATGTAGTGGTAGGACAAGGAGGAATGGCTTTAAACTTACAGAGGATAGCTGGATTAGATGTTAGGAAGAAGTTCTTGACTGTGAGGATGTTGACAAGACAGGACAACTGGAACAGCTTGGCCAGAGAAGTTATGGATGCCCCATCCCTGGAAATGTATTATTTTCTACTAATGCTAGACCTTTCGAGAAGCACAAATCACAGAAGATCCTGTGTGCTTGTATGAGTGCACATCCTTATAGAAAATCACAAGTGAGCTGTTCTGAGTTTTAAATTTTTCTCCGCTACATCCTCCGTTTCCCCTCCCCTACACTCTTTACCAGCATGGATCCTACATTGAATTTTTTAACTATTAGCTATTCTCTGGGTATTCTTTGATTAGGTGCTAATAAATATTAACTTAGGCAAACTGCAGGAAATTTACTATGTGTCTTCTCAGCTATATTTTTATGTATGTATAAAAATGTATACATAATATAAACTAATTAAATGTTGTGGATTCCAGAATTATTGTTTCGTTCATCTCGCATGTAAATCCATAATAGTTGTGATTGCTTTGTCCCTAGAAGGGGATAGAGGAGGGGGTCACACAGATCACCCACAACCAGTATTTCTTAGAACACATCTTGTTTATTAGTTTGTTGTTATTGTTAATGTAATTGAGCTGCTGTTATCGATAGTGGGTGGCTGTTCACACAGCATGTGTGATCCCTTGTGTGTTCACCCATAGTTCCCTGCCTGGAGCATCAGTTGGTGGGGGGCAACCTACCTCTGTGTTTGGAAACAGAAGGATCAAACTGCACCATCCCACAACCCTCCAGCAGCTTTTTGTGGGTGTTCAGAGAGTCCCTCCAAGGTCCATTGTTTCGTCAGATGTATGTGTATGGTCATGTAGTCTTTGTAAATAACATGGATCTCTTGGGTGAGGTGAGCTCGAATTGCTGCTAGCCTGTGTTGGTGGCCTTGGGCAGATTGGGCCAGACTGTGGTGTCCTGAGTTTCTCAGTTCTTGTAGGTCCAAGAGGATTACTCATCTCCAGAGGTTATTGGTCCAGAGGAAACCATTATGAATTGCCTTCTTAACACATACTTTTCCTCTCTGTTCAGCTTGCTGTTTCTGTGGTAACTGTTCCTCCATCCATCCTATAGGTGCCTATAAAACCTTCAGACAGGCTCACCAGAGGGGCCCAGCATGGCGTGATGCTATATCTCGTAAACGATTGACTGTAGATTATAGTTGTTTGTATGATAGCTAGTAACTATTATTGGTAACATACCCTTGCCTCCCTCATTGGTAATTAGCATTTTATTTGTTTACATTATTATTTTAACAACTTATTTAAGCTATCATTTGAATTAATTCCAATGTGTGACTTTATTACCAACAGTTACAGATAGAAAAATCACAGTTTTGTTTCTCTTAAGATGATTAGAAGGCAAAGGCCAACTAAAATACGAATTTATCACATCCAGTCTTGAGCTTGGCATAAGCATATGTATTTAAACCTACAGCTTTTATAACAGAATCGTCTTGAGATCAGATTACTGTTTTAAAATCACTGGAATGGGTTTATGGAAATAGTTTTCATTTCTACTTAATAGCAAAATAAATTTGAGTTTCAATTTTAATGTTTTTCCACAGGTATACCTTGAAAGACTTTTAACTTATGCAGAGATAGATATTTGTCCAGCAAACTGGAAGCGAATTGTATTGGGTGCAATTCTACTGGCATCCAAAGTTTGGGATGACCAGGCAGTGTGGAACGTGGATTACTGCCAGATCCTGAAAGATATCACAGTCGAAGACATGTGAGTGCAGTATGTTTATCTTTGTGAATGAGTGCAAAGATCTGTGTGCATGAAGGGGTCGGGAATTCCTCTCATAAATTATATGAAGTTTGAAAATTTTCATTTTATCTAAACATGGTGGGTGCTGATAGATGGCATGAGGTCTGCTTGACAGTTGCTTACATAGAAGATATAAATTATTTTTGCTTTCTGGTTGAAGTGCATTTTACCACTGGATGTTCATGCGTGGTGATGAAAAAAGACCTGAAAAGATTTAAATGTGTGACTTGACAAAAAACCCAAACACATCCAGTGAGCTTGCATGTGATCCTAATGATCACACCATGTTGTGATCCTAATGACCATTAGATGATCACCCTCTTATTTACTGCCATTATTCAAAAGTAGTACTTTTGGGGTTTTGGGCTGGTTTTTCCCCACTGATTCCTGCTAAGTTCATTTCCAGGACCTAAAAAATGTAGTATTTTGATTTGCAAAGGTAAATTTTCAGTTTTTCCATTTCTGTTATCTGATGGCATTCTTAGGAAGTGCATATTGTAACAGTGTAGAGAGTTGTGACGTCTGCCTGGATATTCCAAGGTCATATTAAGAGTATATTCCAACAGTAAGAAAAAGATCTGTAATAAGAATAAACATAATTAATACTTACTAAAATGAATGTTAATTTCACTAAACATTCTAGCGCTTATATTTTTGGTCAGTTGCTCAGCAGGTATTGCATATACTGGCTGAAGAGCCTGGGGTTTGTATCATCTGTACATTCAGGGCTGAGTCACGTACCATGCATGCTTTTTGAGGTGCCCTTACCTGAGCTGGTGTGTGTGCAAGAGTAGTACTGCAAGGGGTGCAGTTTGGAGTTGGTGCTGGGATGGTGCTGGAGGTCAAGGTACCTTGACAGGCCACTGTGGCTTGTGCATTTGGAGAGTGACGTTTTCAGTCTGCTGGTGCACCCCTTTTTTTTTTTTTGTAATCATTAACAACAACGTTATTTAAAAGCTGTTTTAGCACAGTATCTTCTAAGCAGAGCTAAGTATCTGTAATGAGAGGTATGGAGACTTGTACCTACTTTAAGTCACTTAAGTCAGTACCACAGCCACTGAAGAGAGTTTGCTGTGGATAACCACTCTGGGAGGAGGGAAGTAGATGAGAATACATGTTTGGGCAGACAGAATATTCTTTGAATCTCAGCTTGCAGTCTCAAGGCAATGAAAGGCCAAGCATTTTTGCTAAAGCAGCCCTCATTTTGTTTCGTAATAGTTCACTGTTTGTCAGATTTGTAGCTGGTCAAAAATGATCTGTAAGGGAAAGGTTGAATGTTAGGAGTCAGCTGATAGCTTTAAATTAAGCATGCTCATACACCGCTAGATAAAACTTATAAATTGTGAGTAGCTGTCATTGTTCACGTATTGGAAGAGTTGTCTCTGAATCTTGTATTAACAAGCAATTTGTGATAAGGTGTTTTGTGGTTTTTTTTCCCTGAGTCAAAGTGAAAAATGCAAAGCCTGTGTTGCTGTGGTATGTTGTAGGTATTTTCATTAGTTTGGGGGAAAACTGCCATTTCAAAATAGAAGTGGGAAATACCATATAATGTCATTTCATTATCTGTTTTAAAATATATAATCTGCTTTAAGGATGGTTGATGCTACTTCTTTTCTGACATAACCCCGACAGAGTAGATTTCCAAAACAAAAGGGGCAGTAGAGATGACAAGAAGCTAAAATCAGGCCCTTCGCATTTCTGCGTGCTACGTTATTCCATGCAGGACAGTTTGACAATTCTTCCTTGACTGCTTTGAGTGTTTCCTGAATGATTTTGCTAAGCTACTTTTCCCTTGATCCTTTTCTCATGCTTCTGGGTATTCAGTGGCAGTAAGGGACTCCCTCCATTCACTGCTCCTCCAAGGCAAATCTGGGAGCTTTTAAAGTATTTCTGAAGCTGGGAGCTGAGCTGAGGTAGAGTGTTGAGCAGCTTGAAGCAGACTGACAGGTTTGACTGTGCCGTATGACAGTATTAATCAGGAATGGTTATGAGTTTTGAAATGCTGATTCTCAGAGCTTTTCTTGAAGGCAGGTGATGAGGCATACTGTCATGGTGTGAAAGGAAACTAAAAAGAAGAGGTTATTGTTTTTAACGAGCACAGAGATGGTGCTACTGTTAGAAGTTGCACTTGAGCTATATAACACCGTTACTCACGTGGCAAACCCGTGCTAACATCAGCCCTCTTTCTGCACTCCACATTCCCTAAGACAAACTATGATGAGTCCCTGGCCTCAAAGATTTTAGCTTCTTAATCTGTTCTTAAAAGATTGTAGGATTCTCACAAACTGCAAAACCAGAAGCCTTTGAGGAGCCTGTGCTCTCTGTGTGGTATTTGGTGATATGGCTCATGGGCTTTGTGTCTGGGGCTCCTTGTGAATTCTCCAGCAAAGATTTCGGTGGTTGTTGACCTGACGTTTATATTCCTGTTGCCAGTTTTAACAATTTTTTTTTTCCCCTCAGCTCCTACCTCTAGTGTGGATTGGATTTTTCCTCTATAATTTTTCAGGTAGTTGGGACAGTACAGTATTATGATTTTTGCGGTGTCTAGTTCTACATAAGATGGGTACATTCATTTTTTTTCTATTAATAAGGCAGGAAAAACTCTAGGTCAGAATCTTCAACATCTGTGAATCATTCAGCATAAGTGCATCTTTCAAAACATCATGCAGACCTTCAGTGTTTTCTGAGTCACCAGCAGTACATTGAACTGTGGCTAAAAGCTAACGGAGAGCTGCAGTGCAGTATCTGTAGTCATGTATATAGTATTACCTTGAATTTCTGTGTGAATTATAGAAGTGGTCAGAGGAAAGCATATGTAAAGGAATCTAATGAAAAGTATGGGGGAAGAAGGCTATGGTAGTTGGTTAAGTTACATTAGTTTGAAGAAGAAATACCTGTATTCTTTTGTTCTTTCTCAGCTGTAGTTAGTCTGCTGATCTGACCTTCAAATCTGGGAGGTAAGGTATAGTAAGAATCGGAGGCAGTGTGTTTTTCTTAAAGATTTGGGGATGCTCTTCAAAAGAGGTACAGCCGATATCTTTCTCCATTAAAATAGGCTTTATGTTATCAGTTAACATAGACCCTTAGGTTTAGCTTGCAGAAAGTAAAATCTTGGTGGTATAAAAGGACATTTAAAGATAATCTTCTGGCATTTATTGATAGACATTTTAAAATGTAATTTTTTTCATTTGGATTTTTTAAAAGCTTGAATCTTCAACAGTGTGATTTCATGCCAGAGAGTCTATATCCAGCTTTTAGTTAGTCTTTTAATGTTAATTAATATTTATCATTATGTAAACATAGAATTTCATCACAGTGTGAAGGTGAGGAAGGACAATGATTATTTTCTAAGTGATGTAAAAGTAAAGAGTGAGAATAAGAAAAATAATTCAGTGCTGAAAAACTACTGTACCAGTATATTTTTTGTTATCCTGATATCCTTCCTTTTCTATTGTCAACTGCCTGCATGCTTGCACTGCAGTCAAAATGTAACTTAAATGTAATATTGTAGTAAGTCAATACCTTCTGGTGACACAGCTGTGCAGTCCCTTTACTCTTCAGCAGACATGTACAGCTTTTACCACCCATTGATTTTTTTTTTACTTCTCCTATCTTGAAATCACTGTTTTGAGCATATATGTCCCTGCGTAAGTATTATGTAGGATTTCTAGTTACCATGCAATTTATGAAAATTTCCAATGCTTAGTTTTGTTGATTTGCCTATTTCTTAACATACTTCCTAATGTAATGGTGTATTTGATATTGCTATACCAGTTTTCTCGGGGTGGGAGCTCAAATAAGGCCTCTGTTCCTATCACGTATTTTGACAAACACATTTGTTTTAGGTACTGAAAAGTAAATGAGTAACTGTGAGTTTTGGTTGCATGGCCTAGGGAAAAATAGCTTTATTCTGTTTATGAAGATAAGACAGTATGCTGAAAAATTCAGGTTTCCCGTGACTAGTTCTAAATGATTGATGGTGAAAGGCTGAGGAGAGTAAATAAGTTCCCCAGTAATTTAGGTGTTAGAGTACTTTGCAGCATTTATGAGAGAGATGTCTGACAAATCTAGGGCATTTCTGCATTTCGTGTTTGCATAGCTGTGTGTGCAGATCCACCTAGTGGAGGTACAGCAGAAATGACAAGAATTCTTTTTCCTGCTTAACTTCTCTTTCCAAGATTAATTTAGCTAAAATGATAAAGGTGCCCTTCCACTAGCAAAAGTTTGTGTCTAGATTGGATTGGCACCGCAGTAGCAGCTGCAAGGTGTAGCATCTTTTGTATTCCTCACTGGCATATGTATACTGCTAGAACTTGGTAGACTAGGTCTAACCTTAGGCTACGGTTATTGTGTCTGGCAAGAATAAGAAATTAACTTGGTTTATATCATTTGCAATTTAAAGTAAATTACATTCAGAATGCGCAGACTGAAATATTTTCACATTTTATCTTCTCTCTACAGGAATGAGCTGGAACGCCAGTTTCTTGAGCTGTTGCAGTTCAATATCAATGTTCCCTCCAGTGTTTATGCCAAGTATTATTTTGATTTGCGTTCCCTGGCAGAAGCAAATAACCTGAGTTTTCCTTTGGAGCCCCTCAGCAGGGACAGGGCATATAAACTTGAGGTAAAACTCTTTTTAGATTGCTCAGCAATTAACATACAGGGTGATTTGGAATTTTTGTGTTGTATCTTCCTTCTCCCGTCTCTTCCGAAATATTCCCCTGAGATATTTTAATATCATGTGTCCCTATTTCTGTAACTGTTTTGTTAATGCTTTGGGTATTCGTGGACATGAGGACAGGTTTTTGGCCTGATTTGCTTCCTACCTTGTCTCGCTTTCCATTTCTTTTTCAGTTCTAGTTGTCTGAATAGACCTTGTTAAAGTATCCACAAGTTTTACAATGGCTCTGTTCACAGGCTGGTTTTGTGTGTTCATTTGCTTTCTTAAAACTGGTTATCTGCCTTAAAGGACAGAATGTTAACAAGCATTGCTGAAAATAACTATTCATGTGCTTGTTACCTGCTGTTGCTCCACTTCAGATGGATCCAAGTCTGTTACTTCCTGTGATGTTTTTCTCAGTAATGGGAAAACAGAAAGGAGCACATGTCTTTAGTGGATAAATCATGAATACTTATGAGACCTGGATATACCATGTGCAGAAAGCATGATGTCAGATGGTGTGGACTGTGAAAGGCAGGGCACTATGTATTTCCACAGACACGGGAGGAGTTTAAAATCATGGGCTAATTGTGAGCACTTTGCAAGGCTGGAATCTGGTTTTCGTGAGCTTTCTGATAGTGAAATTTTTCAAATAAGGGCTTTATTGCATGAGTGTGTCCACATTTTATTACTGATTTTGAAATTTGTCATTAGATGCTAACTGCTTTTAACATTGCACATCTTAATGTAACAGCTTTGCACTGTGGGTTTGCATGTTCCGAAATTTCAAGTCCTCCTGTAAACCAGGCAGGCAGTATTCTACATGTTTTTGTGGGGGGAAATGGTGTGTGGGAAGATTAATTGACTTGTTTGTGACTGTAATGGGAACAGAAAGTGGTGGAGAAAGAATCAAAGCATATTTCCGTAAGTTGTGTTTCTCATTCTTTCTAAATACTCTTTCTAAATTTCACTGATAGCTCCAATTTAAGGATGTAACTTAATTCTGTGTATGGAGCATGATGTAAATTTGCATCAGATTTTGTTTCTGTTGAAGAGAATTAAAAAAAAATCGGGACTGTAATAGTAAATGAGTTGGCTTACTAAGTTATAGGGGTCTTGATAATAAGTGCCATTACACATATTAAAATTGAGTTAATTACTTTTAGAAGAAATTTAGTGCACAGTTTCCCAGCACTGTCAGTCTATGTCACATACTGCGTTTAACAGCAGGTTTCAAATGAAGTTAAGAACGATAGCACCTAAAACCTTTGAAGAAAAGAAATACGAAATTACTGTAAATGCCCAAAGAATACTGGTGGTTCTTCTCTACTAACTGAGCATATGTAAAAAGAAAGAAAGGAATATTTTTCAGTAAATCCATAATATTAATTTTTTTTCCATGTTGGGGATGCTTTGTGCTGCCAACAGAATTTGGCTGTGAGTAACCTGCTAGTCAAAGAGGATGTTTTCTTCAGGGAAGAGGAAGAGTATCTGCTGTGAAATCAACTCTGTCTGCCACCTCCTTCCCTCCATTCTGTGGCCAGAAGGAAGGGAACTGCCTTGTTCCCTGGCAGTATTTGGTTGTCAGTAGTGTGCCCTTGAAACTAGCTGACAGCATAATTTATAGCCTCGTTCCTTGAGTGCAGTTAAGCATTTAGCTTGCCAAGAGTTATCAAAATGCATTTGCTGCTCTTCTCTAGGTCTCTCATGTGCTGTTCAGCCCAAGAGTTCCCTGTTTTTAAAACAGTTGCCTGGATTGTCAAGTGGAGTAGATGTAGTACCACACAGGCTGTGATATTTTTGATACTGAGAGAAAAGCTGCAGTCCTCGATGGAAGACAACAGACTCATAGTGAATGTGTGTATGCAGTATGTGGTAAACGGAAGGGACCTTGCTCAGTCCTAAGATGTAAAACAACATTTACTGATACTGGAGATCACAAAAGATTTTGCATAGAGAATGGTTATATTATAACGCATTTTTGCAACTTTCGCATTTTTCAAGCTATTTTATGTATTTAAAGCAGGAGTATTAGATCTGGCATGGCAGAATCTGCATTGCTATTTCTGCAGGTATCATAACCTTGGCATACCTATGATGAAAAAAACAATCCCAGGAAGACCAAGGACAAAGCTAGTAAATACCATTCCTTATCAAATGGAAATGCTGCACAAAATCCATCGGCTTAGAGGTGTTATAAGAGGTTGTAGTTCATGTTAAAAATTACACCACTTACTGGAGCATCTACAGTGGACATTTTTCATTATTCAGTGTTCCCACAATTAACACTTAAGCAGCAGCTTTGTCTTTTAAATAACTAAAAGAAGGTATTTTTTTCTTCATTTTCACCAGCCTGTGGCCTAAAAGTGTCCTGATTTTTGTTATACCAGTCCACGTAGTAGCCAGAAACCATTTTCATGACCCCTCTTTTTTTTTTTATCCCATTGCGTGAAATCGTGCCAGTTAAAAATGGAAAATAACATTTCATTAGGACATCCAGTCTGTCCACCTGCCAATGCTGTTTGTTCCAACCAGCATACGTAGTAGCATGTTTCCTCCTTCCTTTTAATTATGTCAAAGGCTTTCTTTGCTTCTCCTGAGAACTGTTTTCTAATATGGGAGATTTTTCTACCAAAAAGTTGTTGGATATCCAACCTTAATCCACTATTTTGTAATTTCTTATTCTTGTACCTGGTTATTCTCTCATGTACTGAACTAAACATGAGTCAGATTCTGCTCTTTGGGGTAAGTCCACAAAATGTGCCTACCCTTTTTCTGCTTGTGATCTTAGCACTGTGCCTGTTTCAAAGCTAGATTTTGTAAGAGCATTCATTAGTGCACTCCCAATTTGAGTATGTCGTCTGAGCTTTTTATTGTTAGGATAGTGAGAGTGAGCACATAGTTCAAACTTTCAACTACGTGCTGTATTTTCTTGACCCTAAAGAAGTACAGTCTCAGAGATCAAACAGACAAAAAAAAAAGGGGAAAAATATGTAAGTTACAAGGTAGAGAAGTGCTTCCATATTCTTACTGTTGCAGTGATTGATTGCAAGCCTGCCTGTTGTGTGTTCACAACCCTCTTAGCCAAGAAGTGGAGAGCAAAACTCCCCTGCTCTTTTGCCAGGAGTAACCTAATTGCTCTTCTTTTCATTCTCCACAAATCATCACAACTGAGCCCACATCATCACAACTTCCAGTTGTTCTAGAGATTTCTTTGTATTTATTTTTTCCCCACATTTACCTTATGTATAACCCTTCCCAATTTACTGCTGTCTGTCCCTGCTAGGTTCTCTCTGGTTTATCCTTTTTTGGGGGGTGTTGTAGCACTCGCGGTTGTGTGCCTTTGTGCATTCCCAGCAGCAAAGCCGTAGCCAGCCCTGCTGCTTTCCTGCCCTGCACAAACATGTGCATGCAGCCAAAATTTGTGCTGCTACTACTACTTTTGCCTTTCTTACTTCTCCAGAGACTTATCTAGAGTCATGTAACTCAGCAGAGGAACTGACTTTTAGTTCTGTGTGCGCATACATTTTGGAAGAATATATGCGTATGCATTTTTCTAACTAATTACAGATACAACAGTCAAGTGCAATAAAATTTCACATGATTGAGTGGTGATCTGGGTTTAAGAGTCTTTTGATTTCATGTAAGAAATGGTCCCTTGCAAAAATTGGTTTATTTTTCTAGCAATAAAAGCAACAGAAATATCAGATGACAGAAAAGTGTCTATAAGCTATTTGGATTTATTTTAACTGAAAAACAGGAATAAATATTTACAATTTTCTGCTTTTGTCTTGTTTCCCCGTATGTTATGCTAAAGTTGACTAAATAACTTGCCAAATAGGTTCCAAATGTCAATTTTGTAAATTATTTGAAAATGAAGAAGCATCTTTAGATCCAGGATACATCAGTCAGTGTGTTTCTTATCCATATGATTAATCACCAGAGCCTAGAGATGCCAAATACTAAGTGCCACTTCCAAGCAAAATTTCATTTTGTCTGACCAAGTGCCAGAATAGAAATCTTCTTGTGAAACAGGCAATTTTGAAGTGATTACCTTCTCTGGCTGTTTGGTGCCTAAAGTAACAGCCTTATTTGGCAGCTGGAAGAAGCTGAGCTCTACCCCAGTACACCTATTTGCCAAGCCATGCCTTGACACATAGTTTCATGATTAAACACTTTTTGTCTACTGGATTTCAAATCCAACTGAACTTCATGAACTTTCTTAGTCTATTGAGTCCCTGGTTAAATTAATAAAATGTTATTAAGCAGTTTCAAGTGAGTTATGTTCTGCATAGCAGTGGGAATATTTGTGTTATTTTATTCTGTTGCTCTCTTCATGTGCACCAAAAAAACCCAAGAATGTTCAAGAATGGCTTTAACAAAAGGAAATTCAGTTTCCAACTAAAAAGTAGCAAGTGGTTTCTTGTTGGTGGGTTTTATATTGCTTTGGTTTTGTTGTTTCTTTCAATAAAATGTTTTTTTGTGGCCTGCTTAACCAAAGCATGAGGTGAATTTGCTCTCAGGTGTATGTGTTTTGTGCTTCTGTCGTACCTGCCTCTGGTTTATGCAGGACTATTACAATTAAATTCACTGCTGCAGCTTGCTGTGCTATAGAAGGAAATATCAAGAAAGAAAATGATGATCAGTGGAGTCAGGCTGTTTGTTTGTATTGCCTTGTTTTATAATCTGGCACTTGTACTGGCTTTGTTTGTACAGTGCTTTTTATTAAACAGCCTCTCTTAAACACAATTTAAAAGCATTTCTGAGTAAATAAAAGTATTGGTTTAGTTCATCTTATTTTCTTGTATTTGACTTTGAGTGCTCCTTGCAGTGAGCTTTCTCTGCAGTTCTGTATGTTTGAAGCCAGTTAACATTCTTACTGATGCCGACCATAGCATGTCCTAACCATATGAACTCTAATAGACCTGCTGTTTTAGGGCACAGTGTACTTGTGCATGTGAGGTCTATAATAAATACTTGTTTTAAACTCAGTTAAAAACAGTAGAAGAAACATAAAATGTGAACTCCAGTGTAGTATAATAGGAGTTAATATTTGAATAATGTTTTTGCCTTTAAAAGGTTTTTAAGATTTCTGTGTATTTCTAACACAAATTAAATTACTCTGAATAGGAGTTACACTCCCCACTGGCATCTTATAAGATAGCATGATCACACAGAGGTCACCCCTTCTGAAATGCGAGGAAACGTCTTGTAATGTTTCTGTAAGCAAAGTAGGGCGAGTATTCTGCCAGACCATTTATCAGTAGAGAAAAATATAATTACTTTTAGGAAATAAAAGAATTAAAAGTTGTCTTCTCTATGCATTCTCCAATATGTTTACATTGTTTTGTTAAGTTGTCCACAATTTTTGTCCCAGTGAAGTGCTATGTATGAGTTTCCATATAGCAGTGGGTAAGCTCTGTCTGCTCCCTCGATGAGATTTGTGAGGGTTAACTTGTGAAGAGCAGGCTTGGAATATGCTCAGTGTCCTTCAGAAGCAGCTGTGATGGGCAGTGCAATGTCAGCATGTTCCTTTCTTTTGAGATTAATGAAATGAGAAAGAGGATATGGGGAGAAGCTCTTCACATGTTTAGCTTAATGAAATGCCTGTTTGTAATTCTACCTGTAGGTAGAAACTTGTGTTTAGTTTTATTTTACCTGCAGAGCTGTGGTCAGTGCCATTTTTCATTCTTTTGTCTTACAGGCCATTTCCCGCTTGTGTGAAGATAAATACAAGGACTTCAGGAAAGCCGCAAAGAAACGGTCAGTCAGTGCTGACAATCTGACTGTGGTTAGATGGTCCCCCGCTATTATCTCCTAACAGAGGAGACTGGAATATTCCTATGGACTACTGTTTCATCCATCCATTTTTTTCGGGGTGGGCTGGGGGCGGGGGGAGGGGGCTAAAGAAAAAAGACTTTTGATTTTTTTATTTTTAAATCTGTCAAGCTGCCTTTACAGTGCCTCCCCATTGTGTAGCACACGAGTACATACCTAGTGGAAGGAGAAATGGAGAAAGCCGTGTTCGGGAGAGAAGATGGGCAACAATTCTTTTCTCACTCTCGCTAACAGCTTTAACCTTTTTATGAGGAAACAGCAAATCAGGTGCTTGGAAGAAGAAACAAAAAATGAAGTAGAGGCAGAAATACATGTAGGAACTGTGCCATTTTCTAATCAGCTGTACTCATGAAGAGAAATGGCAGCATGAAAACAAACCATGTAGTCAGATGACTGTGCGCTAGAGGAATGAAATTGCGAGAGTTCCATCATAAAGGTTTCTCTTAATATCTTTTTTATTTTTTGTTGTTTTTTTTTTCATTCCTCATTGCTGCTTCCCAGGATAAATTCTTCCCTTTGCACAGCAAGAAATACGAAGTCTGTATTTACAGTAGCACAAGCCCCTGAATAAATAGTGTTGGGTTTTTTCACTGCACTTTTCTCTGTAAGCTGTCTTATTAGCATTATTCTTCATAATTATTATGCATATGTTATATTTCTTGTATGCCTTTTATTGTATTTCAAAAGAGAGAACTTGACCATAGTGCTGAACCAAAAGTGTGTACAGGGATCAGAAGATCTTCGTAATTTCATGATGTGTTTTATTTATAGTATACTTGGGTGCGTGTGCCTTCCTGAGTTCTTGGAATCATTTATTTTTCCTTAATATAAAGATACAGTTATTAAAATATTCAGATGATGATGATAAGACTTGGGCCAAATCTCTGAAATTTGCAACAGATCTTGTGATCCTTTTTGCAGATTTTCATAGCGTTAGAAGTTTAGCAGAATTCATTCTGAGGGAGATTATTTTGGTTTTGTATGGCCTGACTAGTTCATTCCGTCACCTCCAGGTCCATTGTTGCAAGCAATAGTCTCAATTTTTATATGTTTACTTTAAATCAAAGTGTCTGTTTGTATAAAATAAAAAATAATAAAAAAAAAAGCAAACCAGTTGTTCCAGTGAGAAGCCCTGTGGAAGAGCAGGATGCAAATCTTAACGAGATAATTGTCACAAATAGATTTGGTTTTGAAACTAAAATACAAACCCTCATGTTCCTCAACCTAGGTGCTTATAGAAATTAACAGTAAACGAGCTGTGAACATAATTTTCAACTCTGATTATTATGCTCTTCTGTTGTTGTTACTAGTTCCCTGTTACCGTGGCTGTTGCCCCCTTGGAATTTGTAAGAACCTTTCATAGGAAATAACTTGTCAGTATAAGCATTTGCTTTTATAATTTCCCGGGGTGATTCCTTCCCCCCTCCCCCCCTTTTTTTTTTCTTTTGCACAGTTTAGACAGGTAACAGCTGAAAACTCTCAGTTCCCTGAAATCCTTTCTTGGTAACTATCACTGAAATGAATAGCAACAGACGGCCCTGATTTATGCACTACTGTGGTAAACCATGAAGATTCCGTATTTGTTTTATTAAGCCCTATGGGCTTGTAGCAAACCTAGGGGCCCAGAGCTGCACACTTAACTTCCAGTGCAATGCTAATCAGATGCCTCCAGGCAGAGAAGCACTGACAGGATTGAAGTAGTAATACCAAACAGTTTCCTGTTAACTTTCTAATGTGATTTGTGTAGTTTGAGACATGAAGGTTTTGTCCATAAATTCTCCTGACGTCCTTTGGGCCTTTAAAATAATCTCATTCTCATCACTTCTTGTTGTGCCAATGCATCAGAACTGTGAGTATCCAAGTCCATTTTCCCCTTGAATGTGGAATGTAAGGAAAGTGTTTATAACAATACAAATGCAAATTACAGCATTTGAAACCTCTTTACAGATAGTATCTAAAGGAAAATTTTCAGAGCATTTGAAACTCATCCTTTATAAGCATAAATTTAGGCTTTAAAATATGTAAAATATTTTGATTTATCAACACTTTGCTAAACTATTTTCCATTTAACTTGATATCAGGAATATTGGTTTTATCCATTTCTGGGTGATGGAGATATGAACTTTGGATTATGTAAAGATCTCAATGCATCAACTATAATTTTTGTGAAGTTTATTAAACTACTTTAAAGATTGTATAGTCTATTTATTGTATGTATGTACATACAGTCTGATACTTTAAAAAGTGGATTCCGTAAAACCTGGCTCGGTCTTGTTTAGACTATTGAATATCGTTTTAGCCTTGTGCACTGGATTCTACCTCTGTATAGGAGAATTTTCCATATTCTTAATTAGTACTGATTCTGTGATTAACTTGGTTATGTTTCTTGCACTAAGAATTAAAAAAACAAAAAATCTGCTGTGTGGATTTTTTTCTTTAGTTTAAGTTTTGCCAGATGAATCCTCTACATTTAGATGGATGTTTCTTTCCCTCATGGTTATAGAATAATTCTTTGCTTTTTCTTCTGCTTTGTTCCAAGGTTGCCAAAAAATACAGTACTTACCAGTAAATCTTAATGAGTGTCTTTTGTTTGCAAGGTATTCTATACCATGTAATTAAAAATTAATTATTATTTAGGATTATGTTGTGTTCAGTGTAGTTTTTTAAACATTACTGAATGGAAAATGCCATTGCAAGGCTAGAGAGTCATCTCTAGAAGGTGAGAGGGGAGGAGAATCAAATGGTGTTTTAATTAGCAGCACAAATACCTTGTGGTTTTCATTTCAGAACCTGAAACTATATTTGCTGTAAATGTTTTCTGGATTAAGGTTTTTCTTACTGCTTTGGTCACTGGCTCAGAAACAAAAAGTTGTAGGAGGTGTAATAAACCTCTCCCTTCAAGCATCATTGTCTTAATGAATTATTTTTATATGTTGAGCCAGTGGATCATCTGTTTGGGCATTTATGCATTGATAATTGGATAAATATTTGAAAAAGGCATCTTGTAAGGGGTTTTGTCCGTGCATCCCTCTGTAACCCAGGGATGTTTTCGTAATTCCTCTTTCCATCTGCAGACTTGTTTATATTTTGGGTTCTGTTTATGTTAATTTTTTTGTCAGTGATATATACCATTCTGACAGACGCTGTTCTGTGGGACTGAGAATGCTGAGTCGTGAGGTAAAGTGCAAAAAGAAGAAACCATTTTTCCACCTTCCACAAACACCATCAGTCTTTCAAATTATATGATTCCTATTGCTAGAAAAATACTAAAATCCTGTCTCATAGCAGGGTAGCAGTATCCTTTTCAAGAATTATATTTTCTTTTTATTGATTTTTTTTTTTTTGAGATGTGTGGGGGAGAGAGGTCGGTATATATGGCTTAGTTTCCCTTAGCTTAGTTTTGTTTATCATGTAAACTAAAACTGTGATGAAAGAACTGTTTACATTTATAGAGTCTTAGTTCAGACTTTGTTTTTTAACACCTCTCTCTACTTCCGAGCTTTCCTAATGCCAGAAACCTTAGGTATAACCTAATGATTAGAAGTAGCATCAGAAAAAGGTGATGGCGTATTGGTGGCAGATGACAAAGTGACATCTGGTAGTGTTGGCTATGTATAAAATTAGAAGTATGTGGGAGGGGATAGAGAAACTGAAAGGGCAGAACCAGAAAAAATCCCAAAGCCTTAACAGCTGAAGCAACAAATTATTCACAGTCATCCATTGTTGATAATGAACATTGCATTTTCAAGTGGCACGTTTAAACTACCAACTGGAGTTCTGCACATCCACTGCAGACTCATCTTGCTCTCTGCTTCTGTATGGTCTTCATAAGGAATTCACTCTGTCTAGCTTTTGGCACTTTCCTGACTTCTGTTTTGGGCACATTTCTGTAATAAGGTGGGTTTTTTTTACTTGAATTGACAGTTGTTGGAAACATCTGCCTACCTCTGCATCAGGGTCCCACTTAGTGTCTCTAAGAGTTTCTGAGAAAACAACTCAAATATAAACATACCTGTGTGAATGTGACCTATATGTATAGGGAAATGTTAATATCTGTGCCCAGATTAAGGTAAGTGCCTTTCTGCTGTTTGTTTTTTCTCTTCAACTGAACTGCATTTGGAGGAAACCACAGAACTGATGAGACTTTGAGTTGCACAAACTAAAGGTAATGACAGAACGTATGTAGCAACCCCTGCTAGGAGAAAACGCTTTAGAAAAGGAAACGAGATAGTGCAGATGAGAATGCAAAATACTGACTGCTGAATCCCAGAACCATGGCATGAAAATGACTCAGTGCATTAGCTAAGAAAGCCAATGCTTGAGTTTACTTCTGTTGCCTGGGCTGGGTCACCAGACTCTTCCCATTAAAGGAAGAAGCAAAAGGATGGCAGATTGAAGAACGACGGGTGACAACAGTACAAACAGAGTATATTTCTTGTGTTCTTTCTAGAATGGCTGGTCTGATGTGACTTGATGTGAAAAAAAAGGTTGTTCTTTCATGCCCTTTACACCATGTGTAATGTGTTTCAGGATTATTGGTGGAGGCTTTCACCTGTTATAGTTAGAGATAATACTCCTTGTTGATGATATAGTAAGCAAGCTTCTTGGTGTGGTGATGGGTGACATTACACCTACATTATTCATACCAGTTGTCCAGAGTCTCTGTACAAGATTTTGTAGTGCTCACTCAAGGCACTGGACAGTATCTTTGTAAAGATGTCAATGGTCTCTACAGACTGAGAGCAGCAAGTAACAAAACGTCAAATATTCTATCTGTGAGATGTAATTTCACAATGTACTCCCATAATTTACTCACTCAATGTACTTACATGATACAGTTTCAGATCTCTGACACTTAGGCAGTGGTGCTGTGGTAACTGATGCAGTAACTTTGAAGCAAGAAAATCTTTGGAGCTAGCACTGCTGCCCGCTTTGAATGCCCTGGCAGTGAAGCACATCCTCAAAAGGCGGCTTACTCGTGACACGAATACTACTGACCAGGCTTTAGAGTAAGACACCATGTAAGAGATCCTGCAGCACACCTAAGTCTAGTGCTAGTTCTTCTGTTATCTGTATGTTGTCTTGCTTCACTGCCTCTGGGTTTTCATGCTCTTATTTTAGACATTAGTACAAATTATTTTCTATGGAAACAGTATCTCAGAAGCTGGCAGCTTTGATGTACTTGCTGCCTTGTATTTTGACAATACAGATCATCCTGTGACCATATACTTCTCTTTCACATATTTCAGGCAAGTTAAGCACTCTTCTGTGGAAAAAGCTGAGGCCAAAAAGATGGGGGTTGGTGTGCTAGATGGGTTGTAAGGCATAATTAGGTGTGCATTGTTTTAAAATAAGCCAGGAGATAAAGACCAGAAAATGCATTTGTATCTACCAAAAGGCTTTGGTGTTTGGTGATACTTCCAGTAGCATGAGGATGTTAAATTTCTTGGGCAAAGAGTTTGAGGGATAACTGTCTCCCTTCAGCAGGACAGGATATGCAGATTGTATTGCCGTAAATCGTAGGAGGAGGAAGACCAGGTTATACTGAGCAAAATGGTACAAAAGCAGCATGTAAAATACATACACCAAGTAATC